GAGGGACTCTGATTCGAGTGCTCCTCATGCTCCTGCCCTGTCGCCGGACTGTCCTTTCCCTCCGCCGCAGCGGCAGCCACCGCAGCGTCCGTCTCCTCCTCGATGTCGATCACGAACCGGGGCAGGGAACTGTGTGGCTTCCGCTCCGTTCCATAGCTTCGGTGTGGATGGCGGGATTTTCTTATCGCACGCTCCTCGGTCTCCAGGAGGGGCTGATGCAGCGACTGGACATCGTGATGATGCAGATTGCTCACCAGAGCTCCAATGGTACTATGTCCTGATGTGGTTCTGCTATTCGATGAGGTGGGACTCGCCGAGGTTGTGGATCCCGTGTCCGAGGCAGCCTCTGTGGTGGTGAGATCCCCCTCCTCGGGTATGCTCTGGGTGGAGCTGGCGGAGGAGGATGCCTTCTTGTGGGGCTTCGGCATGGCTGAAGCTGATGAGCTGGCGGGGTTTGTATTACGGGTAGGAACGATGTATTTCAGATGACACTCTCGAGATGCTCAATTGCACTCGGTTATCTAGGACGTGGCTTCGTTAGTATATAGTTTATCATTATTTACGTGTCTTAAACCGAAAGCTATGTTACGAAGAAAGCTCTGCGCTCTAGGGCAGTTTGGGGTTCGATAAAACTAATTGAAGATGAGAGAGCTGACTGAATGAGAGCTGTTCCACTTCCTCCAAATGAATCATAATTGTTTTGATTGATGCAATTCCCTTGGGGATGTGGCCTGTCGATCAAGCCGGCTCTATGCGGGATTCAAAGGGGACAACCGACCGATAACAAGCCTAGACAACTGACAAACGCGTTGAATAACAGAGTGGAACTGGTCCTATCACATGATATCTCTGCCTAGTTTCGCTGATAAAGAAAAGGAGCGCATCTCGGACTTGCACAATACACTTTTTAGGAGGCTATATAGTATATAGAGTATAGTTAATACCTCACTCCCACCCGGACTCGTCTTTAGGCGGGCCTTGAACATTTTCGCCAAACTCTCGCCGCTCAGTTCCGTCTTGAAGGCCGCCTTGGTATCGATTTAGGGAAGATATATACGTACTACCCGTACTATGTGAACTATTATTATTTGAATTTCGATTTTGGGGAACCGTCGAACGAACCGCTTGGCAGAGGCGCCGCCAGTTAACTGTCCGCTTCGCCCATGAAAGCATCATATATATAAGTGCTGCGGGGACCAAACAATCCCCTGGCTCCTCACTATTTAATTTTCATTAATTGGGCAAACAGAACGACGACGACAGATAACTCAGATAAGCAGCGGATACTAAAAGGCTATATATTGCCTAGGTTTGCCTCCTATCGCTGCTTCCTTATAAACAAAAGCCACATAATTATCGTGTTTTAATTACCTTTTCTATATTTCCACCAAAGTCAAATAGAAGTGAGATGTTATACCGGAAAAGGATGAGCAAAGAATACTTTGTAATTCTTTTTATTTTGGGGGAGTACTTGGGGTTTAAGGATGATTACGAAAGGGTTTTTTGAATTTTTAAATGATTTTATTTCGATTTTAACTCTTTTAAGTCTTGATTTCTATCAAAAGAGTAATTCATTTCATTAAGTTTTCGAGGATATATTCTTTTATTTTGTATATTTTAGGATTAAAACTCTAAAGCTTCTCTTTAAATTGTAAAACAAATCTATTTTGAGGCGCAATAAAATTCTTTTCCAATATTAATTAAGCCTTTTACTGCATTTTAGGAGGGAAATGGTGAATAAATTTAAAACAATTTTAGGATAGGAATTTAAGGATAACTTATGAAGCCCTCCTTAAAATCCTATAAGAATCTTTATAAAGTCAGAGGCTTATTATCTTAAATTTAAACTCGTTAACTAAGTTTTGCCTGCACTTCAGAGCAATATTTCAAATAAAAAAGACAGCATACTTTCAGGCAAAACCCATAAAGTTATTGTAGAATTCCCAGTGTTAAAAGTCTGATGATTTTTACCTTCACATATGTATAGAAATATTAAATATAAAAGACCTTTGGAAGGGTGTGTGCAATTCGAGGTGCCGCCACCATTTCCGACGACGATAAAACAAACAGATGGAAACCCATTTGCTCACTTATCGGCTAAACAATCTGCTTTGGCAAACTTGTGGAGCAGCAGTCAGTATCCGATAAGCGCCCCCCTTATGCTCCTGTATAGAACAAAACATATGCCGACTAAGCTCTGCTTTTGTGGCGTTAAACCCACCTGCATTGGATTACCACCTCCGCGGCCAAAGGAGTTGCGGAGAAGGCCGAAGGGAAAGATGCTCCCGTAACCACCCTGATCGATCCGACGATCCTGGCCAGCATTGCTGGTCGTTGGGGACTCCTGCAAGCTATCCGGATTGAGTGGGGACATCTCCGAGTAGGCACGGCCCACAAGATGTAATTTGGGTGTGCGTTTCATTGTCTTTTTTTGTTTGTTATAGCGATTACACGAGCACTTATAGTAAGGTGAGTTAAGACACCTTTATCTTTTATCTGTTTTTACAGCCCAAATATTAGACTTTCCTCCACACGAAAGTCACTACTATATAATCCGATTGGCATATAATATATACATTATATATAGCTTTGAAAATTGGCAAAAACAAAACCGAGATTACTATCTATTCGAAATTAATGTATAAAAAAATGGCAGCGATTAGTGTGAGGAGCGCACGCGGCGCGCTCTGCTGGAAAACTAAATGGAATCGGGAATCAGAATCGGAATCGGTGGAGGTGGAAGTGAAACTGCTGGCGCAGAAAGAGAACATACACTCGTCAATCGCTCGCCGGTTGGGCTCTCCTTTCTTTGTTTTTTTTTTTGCTCACTTATTATTTCGCTACTTTTCCGCCTTCCCCCTTTTTGGCCCCAGCCTTTATTGTTTTGATAAAATGAGAAACTGTAGTAACCCAAAAATAACGGGGTTTATCAAAATGGGTGGGTAAGTACCCTCTGTATGTGTGTGTGTATGCCCAGACAGACACACACGTGATACGCGAATGTGGGTGATGATGGTGGCGCAATAACAACAACAACAAAAGCAAAAAGTCAACCCCAAACAAAGGTATTTACTCAAGGCTCACCGAAGCATTGAATACCCTTGATTTTGATTCCATTCAAGTTCAATTAACTTCCAGTAATTAATCAGTGTTTGGTGGGTAAACTTGGGTCTTGTGGTTTGAACAAAGAAGGGGAAGTTTTGTTTATAACTAAATACATTTCTGTAGGAAGTATTTAAGCTGAGTTTGCTTTAGTTTTTCCGATTTATAAGTTTGTTTAAATAAGTAATTTTATTACTCGGAATGATTAGCACACAAATGGGAAGGCCCTAAGGTCTGATAAATCAGGGAAATAAATACTTAGAAACATAATAAAGGTCTCCAATATTATAACTCGCTAATTTCGACCTTATATAGAGAGAAGTTTAAGCATATTCTTTCTTATTCTGGACATTTGTACAACAAAGATACTGTTAAGCTTCCAAAAATCAGCATCATTAACAGTTTAGGGAATAGTTTCTGTTCTGTTCTGCTAAATAACATTCTGCTCATCTTAAACAAGATCGCAATCAATCCGACTTTACCTAGACTCCCCAAGAAGTTTTGTCAATTAATTATCTATGATTAATTACATTTAAGCTTGAACAGCTTGTAAATAATATATAATTTTGAATGAATAAATGGAGTTTCCAAGAACCTTGAGCTTACAAATAATACCTCATTTTGCTTTTTCAAAGAAACATTTAACATTTAAAACTGTTTAAGAAATATATACACAGGCTCCAGGAATCTGATCGTTAGATATAATACCACAGGCACCCCCATTTCCACTCTCTATAAACCTCAAGTTATTTTGTTTTGAAGACTCACTTGGGAATTGGATCCGCGTCTATTGGCATTTGCTGAGCTGCCCAAATGGGTTTCCATGAAATGCGAAATTGAGTACACAGGAACTGTTTCAGCCATTTTCACGATTTTAAACTATATCTACTACATGCACTCTTTTCTCACTTGAATAAATTGACAAATGTGCGTCAGGTGTCGAGACGATGCGAAAATAAACTAAGATTTACTCGAAGAGATCAAGTAAACGATCGATGATTGCCAAATGTCTCTGATTAACTCTCGGATTTATCGTAGAAATTAGCATGGGCTCGTGAGGCGGAGATACAAAAGTAAGAAAAAGATCTCAAGTACCTTGGTGGATCGCTGCTTAGACTCCATGGCTTTGACAAGATCGTTTTGTGTGGAAAAATATAGAAATCAATCAAAATTAGCACATTCAAAATTGATGAGCACTCAATAATAATCCACAACTGGCAATTATGAACTCGATAACACGATGATGATGCATTGAAATCGTATATCTTGAGTATATATCAAAGCCCCTGAGGATATCGAGTGAAGAGTGCACGATAAGAGTGTCATTACTTTCGAGCACGCAGGGTATTATGATGGATTACCATAGACTTGACCTATAGCCGAGATAGCGCTCCCTTCAAAAGTCAACAAACCAGCGAGCCAAATTAAAGCGATGACGATTTTCCAGACGAAAGCGAAAATAGGAACCGAGTATAATAATTATTATAAAAATAAATATATACACGCGATTCGGGGCGGGCTGTAAGTGTGCGTTTTGTATGATATTGCAAGTTCTAGGTCTCTAAGTTTATTTATGTAAACTAAATATATATATACTCTCTGAGGCATAGTGAGTGTGTGCGCGCGTGGGGGAACTCAAGAACGGAATACAATGGATAGCGGTCGGGGCAGTAAATCATCTAGAAATGAATTTTCAGTGGACAATTAGCACATTTTGAGGCGCTTATCGGGGGCCACTACACACGTATACTATATAATCTACAAATACTTCTACTATACTCTCTACTATAATTATCGGAGTCATGTCGTGTGTCTCTACAAACAAAAATAGTCTCGCATAACTAATTCGGCAAATATGTGAAGCGCAGGCCGCCGTCTGGGGCTGCCGCGAGACTCACCTGTTGAGCGGACCAAGGTCATATATAGCTGCGGATTATCCGGTTATTTCAGGATGCGGCCCACTGCTCCCAGGACACTTTCCACGATCTTGGCGCGGAATGAAAACAAACTACAGCTGAGCAGCGGCCGTTCATTCACAGCTGAACGCACGTGTATCTGTATCGCAGTGCTGCTGTATCTGTGTGTGCGGGGAAGTCTGCAAAATCTATGAGCGTTTGTCTGTGTGTGTGGCAAACTGAAACGTCGATAAAATATATTTCTTGTCTTCCGCGGCGGCACAAAGACTTGTCGCGACACTTAACTAAACGGGGGAAAAGGGTTAATATCTTGTATTTCCTGATGCATTAACACAACTCAAAGGGATGTCCGCGAACAAACTAAATAATATTGAGTATGAGCAATCAACGGAACTTTTTCGGGGGTTTATCACCAGCACTTGACTCGCGGGGCATTACACAATCTGGCTTGTCAGCGGCCAAGATTAGCCATCACTTCACTAAGGCCTTAAACCTTTGTAATAAATTTTAAAAATTTGCTTGTCGAGATTTTAGCAATAGTGGAAAATGCAGTGTGACCACCTTTGCTTAAGCTAATAACACTATAACGCCTTCTGCAAATCGCGGGAAAGAGAATGCATTCTTAATCTGCTGTTAACTGGTCACACCAAATCCGACTACCGATAGGTTTAGGCAGTTTTTTCAAGTATTTTGTGATTATTTACGAACTTAAGGTTGTGAAGGAGACGATATGCGGCTTAGGGTAGTTTTCCGGCCTTATTCTTCCGGGAAGTACTCTAAAAACAAGTAAAAAAGTTAGTTAAAAAGCTTAAATCTCACTTCTCGATAGTATCGACGTTTAAAAACTTCATTTATGGCGCCACCATCGATAGTTTCGCACCTTCGGCAGGGCTGTCGTCTTTTCGGAAGAAACAATCCCCTAAATAAGCTTACAGCCTCTTGCAGCGCCAAAACTCGCGACGCTTCAATCAGATTCTATCAAAAACCTTTTAACATGTCCAAAATCAGCCTTAGTCCCCGAGAATCTGGCGCTTATATAGTCGAGAATGCCAAGCACGTGCGGGTCCTGCCCGCGGGCATTGAAAAACTGTCCCAGGAAATCCTGAAAGCTCTAAAAGAAAAGCGTCTCAGCGTGGAAAACTTCTCGCAACACGAATTGCATCCTAATCCGGACCCAAATCAGGCGGAGGAGTATACCAAGGCTGCCGACTGGGTTTTTGTGCTGGACACCTTGAACTTTTGCTTCTGGACGCCCAGTGAGTAGGCTTACTTGGTAGGCTCACTAAACATCTCTTATCTTTAAAACTCTGAATTGCCGCAGATAACTACACCAAATACAAGGTCGATGGCTACACCGGGTACTTCGCGCTGTGTGCGGCCGTTAAGAGAGCCATTAAGGAGGGCGTGGACATCATCAATCCCAAGATCTACTCTGAGATTGACCTTAAAACTCTGGAAAACATTTTCCGTTCCGACGACGGGGAGACAAAGATTCCCCTCATCCAGCAGCGTTTGGAATCGCTGCACGAAGTGGGAAAAGTTCTGCTGGAGAAGTACGACGGACACTTTGAGAATGTGATCAAGGCGGCGGACAAGTCGGCAGTGCGCCTGCTGGAGCTGATTGTAGAGGAGTTTCCCTGCTTCCGGGACCAGGCCGAGTTCGCTGGGAAGCGGGTTTCCATCCTGAAGCGGGCTCAGATCCTGGTGGGCGATATATGGTGCTGCTACAGCGCCAAGGGTCTTGGCTTCTTCCACGACATCGACAAGATAACGATGTTTGCCGACTACCGCATTCCCCAGGTGCTGGTGCACTTTGGCAGCCTGGAGTACACCCAGGAATTGATGGACTTCCTCAAGACGGACACCATCTTGGAGAACGGCGATCCCAGGGAGGTGGAGATACGCGGCGCATCTATCCACATCATTGAGGAAGTCCGGGATGCGGTGGTAAAGCTGCTAAAGGAGCAGCACCCGGAGATCTCCCTGGACAACGTCAACTCTGTGGTGATTGACCAGTATCTGTGGGACTACCGGCGCAAGCACAACGCCGACTTGGAGCACATTCCTTTCCACAAGGTGCTGAGCATCTACTACTAAACCGAAGAACATAAATAAAGACTCGCTCAGATAAATTGTTTTATCCTTTAATGTCACCACAGGCGGAGGAGGAATCTACAGAGTAACTGGCTTGGGCTTGCCCTTCTGCTCAGCAACGCGCTCGTTGTAGCGTTTCACGGACTCCTCGCGGGACAGGTTTCCCTTGCGGGCATATCGCTGGTTGATCAGGAACTTCACATCCATCTGCCGGGCGGAATCTCCGATTAGTTAGGGGCTTAAATATGGTGTTTAATAGTTATACTTACACCCAGAGTGGACTCGTGGCGCTTGCGCATCGGGCGCTTGATGCCATTGCGGTGCGCCTTCTTGTTCTGGTTGTGATTTGTGTGGTTCTTGGACTTGGCCATCTTAAACTATCCGACGATAGCGAATTTTGGTGAAGCGGGCACATGAAAACATAAAATATATATTATTACAAGTAGTTCGCGACATTATTTATTTATTTTCACTTTCGGCAAAAAGGGATTTCTGCCTAAAATCGTTAAATTCTTGGATTTTCTTATTGAAACATTATTTTTCGCTACCTACGTTTTCAACACTTCAGCGGAAAAGAAGATGACACTATCGTTACTATCAATAATATGGGCACAATCGATGTTTTTACAGCTTAGAGCAGTGTGACCGTGAAAATGGCGACGGTTACTATAATAAACTGTCATACGATAGCTCTATCGACAATACAGTTCTATCGATTTTCGATATTGAGTTGTTTTGTTTGCTAAAATAAACCACAAACAAAACATTTGGTAAATACTTATAAATATTGAATAGAAAGATGCCACTTACAGCGGAGAGTGCGGCGCAACAGATTCAGGTGAGACATTGCCAGTTTATACAAGCTAAATATACAATTTCTTGGGTTTGCAGGATCGCCTGAAAGACATCCAACAACACATTCACATAGTGGACGGAGAGCGTCGGCGGGCGGAGAATTCTATTTCCAGCCTGGTGCGATCCTTGCATGCCACCAATCAAAAGGTAAAACCTCTGTTGAAGGCCAGTTTACTGGAAGCATCCCAGGAAGAGGCTACAATTCGAGCTGCTCTGGCCAAAATCCATGAGATACGCAGCATTCGCAATGAACGCAGGATACAAGGTAAGGTTCACATGGATTTTCTTGAGAGGAATATACTAATTTTTCCCCACAGCTCGAAACGCGGGCAACAAGGAGGCGATTCGTCGCGGTGCTCTCATGAAAATGGTTCAATTATCGGCTCAAACTCTACCTCTCTTTGTGGGTAAGCAGGGCGAACGTGCTCCGGCCCTTTGTGGAGCCATTCCCGCCGAGGGTAACTATGTGGCTAAGGTAAGTGTATGGTCCTCATTGATAACACCCTCTTTTATCCCTTTTGTAACCCTTAGGTTGGGGATAACGTAGCCGCTCTGGCCAAGGGAATCGATGAGGAGGAGAACTGGATCCTAGCCGAGGTGGTGCAGTTTCTCCATCGTCAAAACAAATACGATGTGATAGACATTGATGAGGAGCAGAAAGACCGGCATGTTCTGAGCAAGCGTAAGGTCATCCCGCTGCCACTGATGCGTGCTAATCCGGAGACGGATGGGCATGCACTGTTTCCTAAGGATACGGTGGTCATGGCACTGTATCCGCAGACCACCTGCTTCTACAAGGCTATCGTCCATCGGCTGCCGCAAACTGCCACCGAGGATTACGAAGTGCTCTTTGAGGACTCCTCGTACATGAATGGCTATGCCGAACCCCTGCCGGTGGCCCAGCGATATGTGATTGCATACCGACCCACAAAAAAGGAGCTGGCAGTGGCAGTGGCAATCTATCGTCAGCTTAGGAGTAGAGGAGAGATTTAAATTTCAAATGATTACCTTTAAATATAAATTTATTCTACTGTAGATTTTATTTTGAATTGCTTTGTATCCTTTTTTGTTTAAAATAAAAGGATAATTTATAAATTATGTAGAAGAGATGTCTTTTTTAAATTTTCCGCGAAGAGCCTTTCTGTTACATTACATTAAAATTCCAATTTGTTCACATACATTGTTAATTAACTTTTTGTTCAATTATAGGTTATCACCTATTTAATATGTATTATTTATTTATTTTTTTAATTAAAATGATCAATTATTTTGAACATAAATTCAAATAAATAAATGTAATATCCAAGTCTTCCCACCAAATAAGGTGTATTCCATGCTATTTGGTATATACCGTAATCTGCAGTATATTCTGAAGCCACGGCCACACTGTTGGCCAACTTTAATTAAAGTTTTTAGCACAACAAAGAGAGAGGCAATAAAGGCAGTTAAAAATATGGGCGAAACGGCATTGGCGACGCAGACCGGGGACTCGGCCTACTGTTTCGATATCCTCAGCGTGTCCACGCTCTTTGAGAACAGCCTGATCGGGGAAGATGACGTCCAAATGGACGCCTACTTAACTGCCTACGAGGAAATCATGAAGTAAATAAAGCTCCTTGGCTCGGTACTTGAGACGCATTAAATGGTTTCGCAGGTTCTTCCAGCTGATGGGCAGTGTCTTCAGCTTTGTGAGCAGCGATGTACGCAGCAAGATAGATATTTTGTATACCCTGAGGGCCACGGACACGCAGGATGTTCGGCATTTTGAGACCTTTAAGACCATGCTGGAGTATGAAAAGGAGGAGCAACTGCTGACAAAAAAGGGCTACGTGTCCGGGAGTCGTACGCTTCTCCGTCTACATCGCGGGCTAGGTGAGTTTGGAGAGCTTTTCCCCGCCTTCCGCTCTACATTTAACTAATTGACGCTGATTGTGTCTTATCTAGACTTTGTCTACGAGTTTCTCCATCGCGTTCAGGAGCTAGAAGACGACCAAAAGACGGTGGACGTGTGCAAGACCGCCTACGACGACACCCTGGGCAAGCATCACTCTTTCCTAATACGTAAAGGCGCCCGTTTGGCCATGTACGCGATGCCCACTAGGGGAGACCTTCTCAAGCGGGTCTGCCGCGATGTGGAGCTGGCCAAGGAGAACCTGCCATCAATGCTAAAAAATATGCGCATTAACTACGACCGTACGGAAAAGCTCTACACTCACCACGACTTGCACAGTCTGCCTTAGAATCTATGGAAATGCCTGGGATACAGTCACAAGATGTGATAAAGTGATAGATAATGCATACAAATCAATCAGTTTTAGCTTTTAAATATGATATTCTACATTTAAGCGAGTACTCTGCCTTTTAAGATATATATCAACGACGAATAAGCACCAATCAGCCTCATATATTTGTGTCCTTTTGTCCTCCCAAATTGTATGTTCTCGACCTTTAGCACTTTATCACAGCTTGTGATTACTCTAAATCTAGTTAATATAGCAGAAATAATCCGTGTTGAGATTGTAACTACAAGTATTTATGTTTTATGGCTGCTTTAGGTTTAATATCTTCATTCCGTGCAATGTTATCCCCAAATAGGAATCCCACTGCCCCAAAGAGTAATTAAAACACCATAAAAGCTTTAGTCATGAATGAAAAACTTGCCTTATCTGGGAGTGTATTGAACTTGATGGACAAACACATGTAGTTTCCCCTGTCTGTGCCGAAAATAATAGCATAATAATCATGGACTCGATTAGATAAGCCCCGGAGTGCCATAAAAGGCCAACTTTGGATACCAGGAGCAGCAGCTCTCTGGCTATCTGGGTGTTAATATAATCGCCCCGCAGCAAAGGCCTGTTAAAACTCCCCCTCCTATAAATAATCCTGGAATCCGGTCAAGATTTATGGCGTCATTTTAACATTTAACAAGCTCACTTTTGGGACGTTAACTGTTGCAATGGCCGCCTCCTTTGAATTGCAGGCTAATTGCTCTATCGATTACGTCTTAGTCACTATCACTACGTCTCCACTATCAGTAAAGCCAAGAACTGGCTAACGAGCCTGTTGAGTTGACCACTTTATCGCCGGACGGACTGGGCGACGGTGTGCCAAGTGCAAAAAGCCGTATCGTCTAAGATGGTGGCGATGGGCAAACAGTCAACAAAAACCGACGTCACCGTTTGCGAGACGTTAAAAGACCTGGAACCTGCCCATTCTGGATCACTTTTACTTAGTCTAGCGCCGGGAACACAATTCGCATGGAGCCATGGATGCTTCTAAACGAAATAATACTACGAAACGTGAGCCTAATCCTTACGCCAAGGCCAACATTATCTCCAAGTGGTTATTCCTGTGAGTGTTTCACTATATTTTTTTTTAAATGGTGTAAAGTGGTTATATTCTTCGGGAATCCATGATCCATGGCCAGGGTCAATCAGTGTGTGCAGTGGCATCTGTTCAATTGGATAGTTTATGACGCGTGATAAGTGAATTAATGTTGAGTGGGGTTTGGGTATACCCATAAACCGTATCGGCGGGACATTGTAAAACCTGAATATAGTTTAGATATGGTCTAAGTTGAACAGGAGCTACAGTTGCTCTATAAAGTTGTTGCTGCTGATCTCTCGATATTGATTTTATATCAAGTGCCATTACGATCTAAGAACATACGCTTTAAAGGATGTTTAAAAATAAAGAAATGCGATAATATTTCAAGTGTTTAATAAAATAACTTAGATCTAAAATAGAACCTAAAAAGAAACCTGGAAAAAGAATATAAAATGCAATTAAAGAATCGGAATCAGAAATATTGAGAAAAAAGAGGAACAGTACAGATATATACCCAACAGGAAGACCCAGTCTTTAATATTTATAATGATATTATTTCACCAGAAGGAATTCTCCGTTCCTCTGACTTTGATTGGCCATAGACTGTTGGAAGTCACGTATCAAAGCCTGGGATCAGTACCTGTCAGTTTTAAGCTAACCAAGTTTCCAAGATGTCTTGATAAGATATTGAATGGCTTATCATTTATTTTCCCCACCATTCAGATGGATGCACAGTATTTTCCGCAAGGGCAGACGTGAGCAGTTGGACGCCAGTAAGTTGTACGAGCAATTGCCCAGCTTCGACAGTGAAACCCTGACCCGGAATCTGCAGCCGCACTGGGGGAAGGAGTCCAAGCGGAAAAAGCCCAGCCTGATGAACCTAATCTTTCGCGTCTACGGTTGGCAGTTTGTTCCCGTTTGTGTCTTGTATTCCCTGCTGGAGATGACCATACAGTGAGTACTCTTATAAGGTATCCTTGAAGGAAAGGTAATTTCTATAAAAACATTACAGTTCCTTTCAGCCTCTGCTGCTCGGAGGACTCATTTCCTATTTTGCCTATGGCCAGACTAGTGTGTCCAAGGAGAGTGCCTATCTGTATGCCATGGGCATTGTCCTGTGCTCCCTAGTCACCTCGTTGGTGTTCCATCCGTTCATGTTCCATGTTTTTGCTGTGGGCACTAGGGTGAGACTTGCCTGTGCTGGTTTGGTTTACCGGAAATGTCTTCGTGCCTCGGCCAGCAGTGGTGAGGGACTGGGAGCCTTGGCCATTTCCGTGATGTCCATCGATCTGTCACAGTTCGACCTGACCTTCTACTTCTTTCACGACCTGTGGAAGGGTCCCGTGGAGGCATGTATATTTGGCTACCTAATGTACCTGCAGGTGGGCTGGACTTCGCTGATTGGCATAGCCTTCATCGTGATCCTGATTCCGCTGCAGGCATGGGCGGCCAAGGCTGCTGCCCATTTCCGGTCGCAGTCCGCCAAGCATCGTGATGAGAGGGTAAAGCTAATGAACGAGATCATCACCGCCATCCAGGTGATCAAGATGTATGCGTGGGAGAAATCCTTCGGACGACTGATAGCCGCTGTGAGGAAGTCAGAAGTGAAGGCCATCCGGGGATCGATGAGCATCTATGCCGCCCTCCAGTGCACCAATATGATCTCGAAGATATCACTGTTCCTCAGCCTGGTGGCCTACGTTTATGTGGGTGACCTTGTCACTGCCAAGAAGGTGTTCATCCTGTCCTCTTACTATGGACTCCTCAATGATTCCCTGCTACACTACTGGCCCATGGCCATTACCACCTGGGCTCAGACTCTGGTCAGTGCTCGTCGAGTGGTGGAGTTCCTTCAGCAGGTGGAGAAACCCGAGGAGGAGGGCTGCTGCCGCGACAATCCCGGACTGCAGTTGGATACGGGAAAGCCGAAGACGGGGCATGTGGGCCGCCTGCACTGCGTGAAGAGCGAGGAGAAGTGCCTGAGCTTCCGGAAGGTGAGTGCCAGTTGGGACAAGCCGAGCACCAAGCACCCCAGGAAGCCGCATATCGATGGGATCTCCTTCCACGTTAAATCCGATCAGTTTGTGGGCATTGTGGGTAACGTGGGCTCCGGCAAGAGCACCCTGCTCCATGCCATCCTCGGTGAGATTGAACTGATGCAGGGCCGCGTGGAGATTCACGGCAGGATTAGCTATGCCGCCCAGCAGCCTTGGGTGTTCCAGGGGAGCATCAGGGAGAACATTCTCTTCGTGGAACCTTACGAGGAGCACCGCTATCGAGCTGTGGTCCATGCTTGTCAACTGGAACGAGACTTGGAGCTGCTGCCTCGTGGTGATGCGACTGTGGTTGGCGAACGAGGCATCAGCCTGAGTGGTGGACAAAAGGCGAGGATTGCCCTGGCCAGAGCCTGCTATCGCCAGGCGGATATATACCTGTTCGATGATCCTTTGGCCGCCGTGGATGCCCAAGTTGGCAAGTTGCTGATGGATAAGTGCTTCCATCGTCTGCTGGCCGGCAAAATGCGGATCCTGATTACCCATCATGTGCAGCTGCTTAAGAGCGTTGATCATTTGCTGCTCCTGGAGGCTGGCCACCTTACTCAGCAGGGCAGCTACGAGCAGCTGAAGGATATCATAACCCATCATGCTGCTCTCGATCTGGAGGCCATCGAGGAGGATAAGATTCAGGTGAAGCGAGTGCTCAGTCAGGTGGACAGGACATCGAAGCTTAGTAAAGGTGAAGAGGAGGCTTCCAACGCTTTGGAAATGGATGCGGATGCTAACAACGAACAGCAGCTTCAAGGTGCCGTAAGCTATGAGACCTACAAGGCTTACTTTCGGGCTCTGGGTGCTCCTTTCCTGGCCTGCTTGGTTTTGTCGCTATTTGTCTTTGCACGCGGCTGCCAGGCGCTTATGGATATCTTCATTTCTCGCTGGGCCACCTGGGAGGAGGATCGTGGCTATGATTCAATAGATGACTTGGAATCCACACGAACCAAGATGGTCACCTACTACACAATTCTGTTGCTGCTCACCTTGGCTCTGTTTTTGCTGCGCACCTTTGGCTTCTTCTTCATGTGCCTAAGGATCTCTCTGAAGTTGCACGATCAGCTCTATCATGGCATCATCCGAGCCTGGATGTATTTCTTCAATGCGAATCCCTCGGGGCGAGTGCTTAACCGCTTCTCCAGTGACATACAGAACGTGGATGTGACTCTGCCGCAGGCCATGTTGGACTCCTTGCAGGTACTTAATCCAGATTTCATTTAAATTGATTTTTAAGGAAATTAATTTTCAATTTCTCTTTAGTTTCTGGTGGATGTTGTGGCCGTTCTAGTGATCGTGACCATTGCCAACTATTGGCTCCTTATACCAGCTGCAATCATGGTGCTGCTCCTTTACCTCTGCCGTGCTCTGTACATAGGGGCCAGTAGAAGTCTGAAAAGAATCGAGAGTTTGAGTAAGTTTAGAATTTAATAATTAATTTAAATCAAGACTAATACACATACTTAAACAGCTCGCAGTCCCATCTACTCCCACACAAATCAGACCTTCCATGGACATACCACCATTCGATCCATGGATGCCATGCCGCAACTGGAGCAGACTTTCCATGGTCATCAGAACACAAATTCCTCGGCTCTGTTTCTCTATGTGAGCGCCAATCGAGCGTTCTCCTTTTGGACAGATCTGATTTGTGTGGTCTACATCCTGGCGGTGACATTCAGTTTCCTGGTCATCGAACAGAGCTTCTACAGCGGCGATGTGGGCTTGGCCATCACCCAGAGCATGACGCTGGTCATCATGTGCCAGTGGGGCATGCGCCAGACTGCGGAAATGGAGAACAATATGACCAGTGTGGAGCGAGTGCTGGAGTATGCTCAGATGCCCTCTGAAGCGCCACTGGAAAGTCCCAAAAGTCTGAAGTTGGCCAAAGAGTGGCCGCAGGCGGGTCATCTCCGGTTCCGGGAGCTCCGAATGCGCTATGCTCCCGGAGATGCTGATATCTTGCGAGGCCTCAACTTCGAATCGCAGCCCATGGAGAAGATTGGCATCGTTGGACGCACAGGAGCCGGCAAATCCTCTATTATTCAGGCATTATTTCGGCTGGCCTTTAACGAGGGAACCATCGAAATCGATGGCCTGGATATTGGCCAGTTGGGTCTCCACGATCTGCGCAGCCGAATCTCCATTATACCACAGGATCCGGTACTGTTTTCGGGAACCCTTCGTTTCAATTTGGATCCCTTTGATGAGAAGAGCGACGAGGCCTTGTGGAGTGCTCTAGAGGATGTTAAGCTGAAGAAACATGTGGCCAGCTTAGAGGGCGGTCTCTCCTGTCACCTCCAGGATGGTGGCTCCAACTTCAGCATGGGTCAGAGGCAGCTGGTGTGCCTGGCAAGAGCTATATTGCGGCAGAATCGAGTCCTGGTCATGGATGAGGCCACTGCAAATGTAGATTCAGAGTAAGTAAATAATATATTATTAGAAATAATTGTATTACAATACCTAATATAATTATATTTTCCGCAGAACTGATATCCTAATCCAGGAAACCATCCAGACCAAGTTTGCAGAATGCACAGTCCTGACGATTGCCCATCGCCTGCACACGGTGATGGATAACGATAGTGTCCTAGTGATGGACGCGGGAAGGATTGTGGAGTTTGGGGCGCCACACAAGCTCCTGCAGCGGAAGGAGGGAGTCCTGCTAAAGTTGGTCAATCAAAATGATGCCGCAACGGTTAGTTTCCTCAAGAAGATCGCCGCTGAGAGTTACGCCCGACGTAACAGAAGAGATTCTTTAAAGAATGAGTGATAGTTTAAGACCAGATCTCCGCTAGAAACAGGAACTTGGGATATGTTTTTAGCAGCTGTTTTTCTCACAAAATTGTACAGTCAAATCCGGTTTTATTGGTGGTGTACGAAAAGTGTACGATAAAGTGTATTTACATAGCTATAGAATTACGCTAAGTACTAATGATAGTTCGGCACTTAAAACGAGGAGACTCTGACACACACGCTTCGATCGCACACACACAAGATTACAAAATAGATGTATGTAAATATATATATGTAGGTAATATATATCAAAACTTTAAACTCGATGGATGAAGGATGTCCATTTAAAATAAGTTTAGGTTAAAACTAGGATCAGAACCGCACTCTGATATGCTCTCGAATTGAAACGGAAACCAAAACAGTAACGCTCTTTATGTAAGCACTATATGTACACAGAACGCGTAATAAAACAAATAAATAAACGGTCAAACCACATCTACATCCACCGTCTCCGCATCTTCTGCCTGCTATTCGATCCGTATGCGATGCGACGAGCGGCGCAGTGCACCGAACTCTTTGACTACCAGTCTCCCCAGCAGCACCATGGCAATGATATCCGCCACGATGAGCATATGGAAGACATTCTGCCAACCCGTTGTGGAGATGAGACCCGCTAGCAGCGGACCCACAGCGGCACCGATCGATCCCGTGCCATCAATAATGGCCGTCACAGTGGCCAGGGCATTCGCATTACCCTCCAGGGAGCTGTGCTGCCCCAGCTCCGCACTGACCGAGGTCGTTATCAGCGCATAAGGGCCATTCACAAAGATGCCGACCACAATCAGCAGAAAAATACTAATCGTAAGCGACAATGCACCATATTGTTGATACATCAGCAACTGAAGCGGATTAGAGATTATAATCTTTGATTTTTTAAGAAGCGGGAGAAGGGAACTTACAATAGGCGAGGCAATGAACAGCATGCCGGTACAGACGGTGGCCGACATTCCGGTGAGATCCGAAAGATAGCCCGCAGCTATGGCGCCCAGAATGCCGCCCACATCGAAGAGCGTGGAGAGATCAGCGGACAGCTGTGGGCCCAGTGTGCCTAAACAAAAGGAAATAAATTATATTGTATTTTTCCTCTTAGTAGATTCCCATTTTATTACTTACTGGAAGACTGTATGTACAGGGGCAGCCAGTACATGAAGGTATAGCTGACTAGCTTGGTAAAGAACAGACACAGCGAGAACTCCACCACGCCGGGTATGTACAGGGCATCAATCAGGCTAATGGGTCGCCCATGGCCTCTCTGGTGGATGGGCTGCTGTGAGGCTGAGCGCGATAGGATGGGAGTACGTTCGGTGGGTGCCGGCCTGTAGTTAATTTCCTGTAAAAGTCACATCAATTAGTGCTCCATTTATCACAAAAGGGAATTAATAAGTGCTGATTAAATGCGCCAAATTTACAAAGCCAAACATAACTAGAAAAGCAAGCTGAAAAATACGTCGTCATGCACTTACAATTTCCGCAGATTCGTACCCCAAACTGACCACACACTAAGGCCGAGCAAATGGTTAATACATTTTTGAAATCATAACAGCAACTTAAAAGAATATAAGGCGCGACATGGTAGCACTGCAACACTCTATACTTACGGCATCATTGTGACGCAAATGCTCCTCGTCGTCTCCATGATCCTCCTGATCCGACTCATTGGCCACGCGTCGCTCTTGCTGCCCGGTCTGCGGATAACAGCCCACTATCTCCGGCTGATCAACCAGAAATAGGAAGAGTAGGAAGCCCACGGCTGCTATGATGATGCCGGGAACCACAAACGACAGCGCCCAGTCGCTCTCCACGTAGTGGGCCGCTATCAAAGTACCCAGAATGTTGCCAATCGAGGTATGACTGTTCCAGATGCCAAAGATCAAGCCACGCTTCGATTTGCCAAACCACCGACCGACCAGCGCAACCACTCCAGGCCAACCCGTCGTCTGGAAAATGCCAGCGCAGATCTGTACCAGAATAAAGTACCACAAGCTGTGGATATTCGAGGTACGAGCAATGCCAAACATGTAGGTGAACACGCCGGTTAGGATCATGCCCATGGAAAGGAAGTAGCGCAGCGAGACGCGCTCCGCCACAAAGCCCGAGGCAAACATGGCAATGGCATAGGAGAAGAGGAATGCCGAGTCCATCATCCCAAAGAGTGTGGTGGCATCGGGACCATCTGCGAATTAAATGTAAAGGTAAATAAAGAGCTATCATAGATAGAGTTTAGAGTTTACTCACCGAAGGGGGGATAGCCGCAATCCTGACCCGTCGTGGCCGGTGTCGTAGAGCAATTTCCCTGCAGCACAGACTTGACTACGGATATGGGCTTGCGGCACATGTGATAGCAGGCGTAGGCCAGGAAAGTTAGCACAAACACAGACATCTTGTAGCTGAAATATAGAGAGAGTTTCGATTTAATTAATATACACAAGTACCTATTTTATATAGTTATATATTAAAAAGCTTCAAAATCAGTGCAGGTTTACTTATTTATAAGATAAAAGCTGGCTGATCACAATGTTAGATGAAAGATTATTGTTTTCCTTATCATTTGCCGTTTTTAATGAAACTGCGTATAGGTCTTAGCTATTTTGATGATATTTGCAGTTGTCAGTCTTAACTATTTCGTGGAAAAAATGTGGGAAATTATTAAGCAGTTGTGATTCGGTGCGGTTTTCCTATATATGAAGTTAATCAAAGAAGTAAAAGACGAAAATGTATAACCTATAAAAGCTTTTTAAAGTTATAAACAATAAAAACAAGGTATTAATACGGGATTTCCCCTAAAACAGAGACCAATATGCGTCCTAAATTAATAAATTCTCCACAAGAACTTATAAAAATCCAGAAAAGAGACTTATAATAAAACCCTTTGATTTGTATACTTACAGCAGATCTCTGCGTGCATGGAAGCGGGTACAGCATTGGCGCGACAGCCGCTGCACCATCCGGATGCCGAAGGGCACATCGTTATAGTTGTTGCTCATCTTACGCGTTCTGGCCAAACCCAGTGAAGCTCTCATCGACCGAATGGGGGCCACTAGCCACAAGGAGGCCGCTGCTCACGTTCGGCGAGCGTTCTCCGTTCCGTAAGAGTAGCAGCTGCAGTCAGTTACCTGAAAGAACAAAGATCAACAGGTAGGTGAGTGATGGGTGAGTAGGTGACTCAGATTCAGGTAAAGCAGCGGAGTGGGTCGCGGTTTTTGCGGATGGATAAGCCACGGATTGGGTTTCGGCGAACTGCGGATACTATATCCGACCTTATCTTTCAGATACATACAGACCATATGGATGCATGTACATATGCATATGTAAGGTTTTTCTTGTTTACGTCGTCGTTTTGCTTCCACTCAAACAATGCCACTTTCCGCTTCGTATCGCCAGTTATAAAGCAATAATATGCGTTTCCGCTTCACTATTCTGCTGTGTTGGCGAATTTTTCCCTCAACTTTGATAGCGGGGTTTTCTCTAACTTTGCAGATAAGGTTAACCGCGCGTACTTTATCTCATAATGTGCGTCAATTTGTCAGGTATCTTAGAGAACCCACACGATGTTATTTAATGTTTAATCACCTTTGCTTTTGTTGTTATCGAGTAAACGTAGAGTATTCCCGCGTCGGTTTTGCGGTTACTATAACTTCAGTTTCTGTCTCGCCCCCAAAAAAGTACGGAACTCGAGCGGCAGCTGGCAGTTTGTTAATGAATGAATAGTTTCGATAATGCGACACTGAAACTCGACAGTTGCCATGTATTATTATCGTTCGAGAGCAAATACAAAACAGAGCAAAGTAAATATTACTTCGTGGAAAAATAACAAAAGATAAATGGTGTGACCAGCTTGCGTTAGCCGTTGAATATGCTGTCTTAAGTTGAGGTATTTTTAGGGGATTTCTTGCGGCTCAAGTATCAACAGCTGATTTTAGTATTACATGCAGCTGCTTAGAATTGCCTAAAAAACGGCATAAAGCTTATGAATTTAAAATTTGGCTGTTACTTTTTAAAATAATTTATTTGATAACATTAGTATAAATAAAGTATTTATGGTTTAAATGTGTTAAACAAATGTATTCTTACGTTAATAATATATATTTATTTATTAAATTGGAATGAAGAAAACGTTTCTTTTACTGCTAATAACATATTCGCCCCGGTTAAATTTATGTTTCAATACAAGTTTAATAAAATCGATTAGTCAGAAATGTAAAATGTAAATAATAAAAGTAATATAACACCAATATTTTATAAATTCTTTCTTTAATAAATGCCAGTTTAATGAATTTTTTATTGATGCGCCATATATTTTAGGTAACAATTTACATCCCAATCCATCCATCGATTTACTCTTCCAATTAGTTGGTGCTACTTAATTCCGGGACTCACAGTTCCTGAGATCACGGGCTAATTATTATTTCTTTTGACACGCGACCGGATGAACAAATAAAAATTACTCACTATTGTACTCAAAGCCCATGTGCACATGACCTGACTTTTCAATCAGATTCGGCTGAGAGCGGAAAATGCTCTCGTTTTTTTTTACACTATCCTGCTAATTTCCACCGCCGGCAGTGTGAAAATCAAGGCGAGAAATAAGAACAATTGCAGGTGTTAATCAGTTAAAGGCAAAAACAATTTTTCATCTTGTATAAATTGGTGAGACAGACCAAGCCACAGCCGCACTTGACAACCTGCAGTCCAGCTTTAAGCAAGTACATTTCGATAAAAGAGAAAATAACGGAAAGCCCTATTTAAAATGCAGTACAGACAAGTAAGTTCATACTCATAATTTTTAATGTTCTTAGTTGTTTAATTAAGTATTTTCTTATCCCGAAATATAGCTGGCATTCCAACTGATGGCCTGTTTAGCCACCTTTCAGCTGGTGCTTGGCTATCCACAGGAACGTGAGCATATCCAAAGACTGAGTTCCAACAATGAGGTGAGAGATCAAGCCATCACATCCAGCGAAGCCCTGGACAATCTCTATAGCTACGAGAGAACTTTGAGTAGATTGAGGAGAGCTCTGGAGGAGCTGGCCTATGAGGAGGCAGCGGATGACATGGAGCTGGCCGAGATCAATGTGTTTCGACCCCTGTTCCGCTACCGTTCCCAGGTGGCCAGGCAGGTGCCAAATCCCCAGCAGCAACAGCAACAGTTTGGCTAATAAAATATAATATAATTTACTATAATTAATAATAGATAATAGCTTAATTTTTATACTAAATTTAGCTCATTAAGAAATAAAACAATACCATAATTTATATTTGTTAAACATTTAAATACATATTTTATTAATTATATTCATATATATGTACACATCAACTCTATATGGTATACATGTTAAGGATATTATTGTAGTTTCTGTTTTCATGTCTCCACATTTGAGCACATTGACATGATGGCGTTATTTTTGTGGATGACACGCGAATTCCTTGCATTGCACTTTAATTTTGTTGTTTCACTTTATTTATTTGGAAGGATCCTTATCCCTAATATAGACATACACACACACGTACATATTCGACTAAGGAAGACACAAAGAATATTGAATTCTAAAACTACATACATACTCGTTAATGATGGACACTCATCGAGGGCTAACTTTTGATTAAACGATTTGACCCTGTAAGACTCCCCTAAGCTTTAACTAACGAATTGTTCAGGCCCTATATATACACACACATTTACACAAAGGTATATATATATATACTCTATATAAATCTTATACAAAAATCGTTTAGATATTCTTTGTTTTCTGAACGGGAAAAATTTTGCCTGCTTGTAAATATTAAAGCTGCTAACCAGCTTATGAAAAATATTCCCTCTCTACACACGCTCTGTTCGTGGCTTAGAAAAGTTACTAAAGTTGCTAGTTAAGTACACAAGTTCTCTGTTTATTTTAGTTTTAGTGTTTAGTTATAGTTTAGTTAGTAAGTTTTTGGTTTTTGCTCCATTCGCTTGGTTCCATTGGGTCGTCCTGCCGCTAGCCTGCTGCTCACTATACTACGTCGACTGGTCATGTTTTACATTTACATTAAATTTGATTTAACTTTTGATTATCGGGCTTAAGCTTAGACATTATATGGGCTGGGATGGGAGGAGGAGGGCTTCGAATCTGCTGTCGAAACCTGTTTACATATTAGATGAGCCCCATCCTGGGTAGCACTTAGAGATAAAGCTTTCCGCCTCCGCTTCGCTACGCCTCGCCTTCTGTTCACATATCCACATATCGATACAGAGAGACAAGACAGGTAACCCTTAAAGTATAGTACATATCCATATATAGCATGTATGTTGCTGGCTGGCTTAGAGCACCTGCAGGTTCTCGCAGTGCTTGAACTTGGAGTCCTCCTTGCCCAGGATCCAGGTGAGCATCTGGCGGGCCTTCATGCTGGCCAGCATCACGCTGCGGCTCTTGTACCAGTGAGCCGGCGAGTTGGCGTCCCTTGGTCCCTGCAATCCATACATTAAGTCATTAAAGCGAGTCTTAAAAAAATTACTTTAAAAAGAAAGGCTGGAGGCGAACTGCATCTATTTACATTTACTCTCAGTTTGAGTGTATTTTTATGGTTATTTCCAGAATGGGTTTTGCATTTTTACTTGGCTCTGTGCGTTATATATATATATATATATATTATTGTGGGGCGAATTCGCAAGATAATAAACATCCAACGAGGGAAGACAAGAGCAAAACAGTTTGGCAGTTTGCGTCGAATAGTTTCTGTACTTTTGGACACTTGACACATTTCCTTCTTGGCAAACTCACAGAACTTGGCAAGAGATCAAGGGAGGGGCAGTTACTGGACCTTATACATAATTTATATAGTCTAACAAACACACACAAAAACAAGGGAGTTGTTAAAGCACTCTTAAAAATAAGAAATTTTAATAAAGAAATTCGTAAAGAATTATAGGGGACTTTTTAACCATTCCAATAAAATTTTCTTTATATTAAAAATTCCTAATATTATTTTTTAGAGTGCACCACTAGACACATTATTTCATGCTATATTTGGAGTTTGGATTGGGGGGATGTTGAAAAACACATCAAACATCGATTAAACTCAGTCCGAAATGGGGAAGGCTAGTTTATAAATTGAAATTGGTTTTTTTTTTATTCGGTCGGGGTACTTTCATATATATTACTTACCCCATCGCCAGTTTTTAGATCAGTCAGACATTTATCAGTTTCTACAACAGTCTCTACGTTCTTGTTTTCTCTAAATTTGTTTTTATCTTTTGATTTTTTCGGATTAAGCTGCGAAAGCGATCGATTTACATTGATTACAAAGACACCAAATACAGAGATATGGGGAGAGGGGGCGGATAGCTAAACTGCTATGGAGAGCTACTGTAGGTGGACCTTAGGGGGTTTGCTTTATGGGTACGTTTTCCCCGATTCTCACCTGGAGCTGGTTCTGGTCCTTCTTTAGTCGGATCTGGGTAAGGGTGCCGGCAAGGAGCTCATCGCAATTGTGATTAATGCCCACAGAGACCTCGATAAACTTGGCGCCAAATGTGCAAGCCAGGCATTTGCCATCTAAAGAGGAATAAAGTTTTTAAAATTAATACAAATATGGAAGAAAATATAGATTAGATTAAGTATTGGATTGGAATTAGGAATAATTTAAAATTTATTTAATACTGTATTTATATCCTTGCAGAGTATTATAATTTTAGTTAGAAGCTTACAAAGCAGTGAAGGAATCATTTCCGACCCTATAAATCATATATATTCTTGATCAGCATCAACAGCCGAATCGATCTAGCTATGTTTTGGAAGAACATTTTTTTAATACATTTTTTGAATATTTTTTGCATCGTAAAAATTGTAAAAAATTGGCAAAAATTCTATTTTTTTTAAATTTAAAATAAAGTATGCAGATTTGTTAACTCGATAAAAACTAACACAGGAAAGCTTTCCGAATTGAAATTAGTGCATTTTTGGCTTAGTTATGAGATTTTTTAACCTTGATTTTTCGTAAAAATTGGCATATCAATATATAGATAAATATTGGCTTAAAAAATACATTATAATTTTAGTTAAAAGCTTACGAATCAGTGAATGAATCATTTCCGACCCCATGAGTCATATATATTCTTGATCAGCTTTAAAAGGCGAGTCGATCTAGCTATGCCCGGAAAAAAATATTGTTTTTTCGAAATTTTTAAATTTTTTAGGTAAAATTTTGCATGTATAAAATTTTTAAAATTTGACAAAAATTGAAATTTGTATACTTTAAAATCTGAATATGCAGATTTGTTAACCCTGTGAAAACTAGCACAGAAAAGCTTTCCGAATTGAAATGAATGCATTTTTGGCTGAGTTATGATATTTGAAAAAATATGATTTACCCAAAAAATTAGCATGTAAAAATAACGATTTAATATACCTAGAATTCTTGTATGTATATGGCCCACAAGCCAATGATTCCCAGAAGTCATATATATTTCTATTTGCAATCGTAAATCATAATCAATAAGGAATAAAACATTTGACAAAAGATTCTACAAAATATTGAACTGGATTTTCCACAATTTTTTAAGTGGTATCATAATTAAATTGTCAAAAATCAAAAAAAGTTTCCTTCCTTACCCTTGCAGGAAGACCAAATTTGAATTATAAGTTTGCAACGCACAATGGGGGGAAAATTTAAGCTGCTTGAGATTTTTTAGGGAGAAAGTAAAATTTATATCTGGCAACACTGGTTTCTCCAATGCTGCCAGACAAAACGGACGAAACAACGAAAACATAAAACACGAAAAAGATCTCCATGGAGGATCGCCGCGGCGGTCCAAGGAAAAATGGAAAATAAAAAAGGAAAACTTCGCGGAAAAACCCGTGGCAAGTGCCAAAAGTGCGGGAGAACAACGATCCCACAAACTGAAAAGTGCAAGAGAAGTGGGGCAGCCGGGCCGCTGAATTATGTGTGTTTTCTTTTTTAAGCCACACATAGGCAACATAAGTGCGCCATTTTTCGGCTAGTTAATGTTGTACTTTTTCTGTGCGGTGCAAAAAATGTGTATTTAGAAGTGTGCCAACGTTTGGAAGTGTTTTTCTTCTTTTTTGGAGTTCTTCGTCGAGAAATCTAATTGGGATCTACAACAATAAGCTATGTAATTGGGTGAGTAAAACAACAACACAATTTTCTTATTTCATTTATCCTCGAGCTTCTCTGTTCTCGCGCGCTCATTTTTTTTTTTTCTTTTTTGGGTTTGTTTACTCTCGCGCTCAAAAAGGGGAGCCTATGAGAGAGAAAGAGAGCCACAGATACGATCCTCTCTTGTGGTTCTCCGTTATGACATTTTGAAGGTTGGAAAACCGCCTTTGTTTACATTTTTTTCTTGACCTTTTGTAAGGCGAAACTTAACTTAAGCCTTATTTTACTATATATATTTTATTACTAGTAGTGTGATATATCAAAATTTAATAAGCATATAATTAATAAAAAACTATGCTAGTTTTATATCGAAATGGATAAGTATAGCTTTGTCATACTACAATTCTAGGTAAGGAGCGATAGGGATTTTCTTAGGTATATCATAAGTTTAGATCTTTTCTTTTAGTACATGAAAGAGGTAACAACCGGTATTGTAGTAGCCATGTACCAAACTTTTATAATCCAGGAAACCCTTTTTTTATATGATTTTTTTTCCCCCATCTAAGCATTAGGATTAGGAAAGGATTTGACTTGGTCACGCCACATAATTGACGATGCAAATGAAATGCAACGATGACCGACAACGGGCTAATTGCAGTCCAGGTACTTACCCTGCGCGGAGACGGCTCGTGAGCGGGCCAAATCAATTTTGTTGGCCACCAGAATGGTGGGGCGATGGCGCAGCAGGTCCATGTCCTGCAGCCGCGATAGGATCTGCTTGGCCCGCGTAAAGGACTCCTTGTCAATGCAGGAGTAGACGACCAGAAACGCATCCGCCTCCTCCAGTTCGTCCTGCAAAGGATAGAGACCAGAGAGTCCAATTGAAAAACGACTCGAAACGAAACGAAACAAAACGAGACTCAACAAGTTTTTAACATTCTAAGGCTCTGGTCCGCCGGCCAGGCTTGCCTTTCGTGACTGTTGAAAGTATTTAATGCCGTGTTTTATAACAGCGCCCCCTCCCCCCCCCCCCCGCAAGGTCCGAGTTGAAAATTAAAAGTTGCCTCCAAGCCGACTCAAGTGCAGAAAGTAGAGCATCCTGGCCCACTCCTTGTACCTTTTGTGTTCGGTACTTTTGCATTTTATGCTCGTAAAAATTAAAATTATGGCCACTTGGCATCGCAATAACGTGGCGAAAAGAAAAGCAGGAATAAAGTTGCCGACTTGCTCGGACTTTTAATGATGTTCATTTATCTGGCCCATACATTAACAGGTCAGCGGGATGACTCTATCGCCGTCCGGCTCCTTTGAATTTCGCTTTACTCGCTCCTTGATGGTCCTTAAAGGTGTGAAGGTAGGGCTTTTATTCTTGCTTATCATTAAGGATTTTAAGAGGTGAGACGATGTAGGGTATGTCCAGGGGTTTGTTTTTCCATGAAAGTTGCTTTAATTTTGTTTAAGAAACGTTTTTACAAAAATATTTCCCAATAAATTCGTATGGATTTCTACTTGATTCCTGTTATTTATGTTGTTTCGTTTTCAGCACTTTAAATGTTGCATAAAATCTATAAACATCAGTTAAACTTTTCCCTGAATCAACATTTCCCTTGAATCTTAATCCTGATGGATGTTTTCCTCCATTTCCCTGATACCTTTTTGAGCATTTAAGATGTCCAATCTTTCGGCTTAAACACTTTGTCTGCGGTAGAGCAGGTTTCCTTCGTGTCCTGGACATTTCTTTTGGCTTCCGTTTGCGGCTCATAAAACCATGGCAGGTCCCAAGTCGAAATTTGAAATCGAAATTGTCGGTGGAGCGGCTTAAGGTCAAAACCTTGAGCAATTTATTATTTGTTTGTTGTTTTTTTCCAGAGATTTTCTTTGGTTTTCGCCACCATGCACGAGTGCTTTAATTCGCTTGATTCCTGTGTCACATTCCCCCCAATGGATAAATTGTTGCCATTTCCTTTTGTTTTGTCGGGGGTCCCAGTTGGAGTCCAAGTGCGAACCCCAATCCCAAGCCTCGTCTTCGGCGTCATCACCATCATGGCTATCGCCATCGTCATCGGCATTTGTAATTATCATTATCGCGTTCATTTGTATTGTTTGCCAGCCTCGTCCCAGCCTGGTTGGGTCTGGCCCGTTGGCCATTTGGCATTTGGCCAGCAATTTGGCATTTCGATTGCACAGCGGCTCATATTGTTGTATTTATATTATTCCTTTTCCTTTGCCTTTCTGTGTGTTGTTTTCCCTTCTTGGTTTTTCTTTTTCTGGCGGCTGCAAATCGCTTCAGTTGCAGGCGGTGGCGGCGCCCATCTGACAGGATTTTAAATGAATTCCTTAAATTATTTCAAACTAACAACAGCCGGCATCCTGCAGAAAGCACTCCGTGCACTTGGCCGTAATTAACCGCAGTTCGCAGATTGCTCAAAGTCCCTGAAACTTCTCATAGTTTTTCCCCCGAGTTGAGAGGAGCTCTTGGTCTTTGCTTTGGCATTTTCCAAAGGTAAAAGCACTCGGAAAAATAAGGTAGTAACATAGAGTCTAAAATATATGAAACTTTAGTTTAGGTTCTACCTTTTATGTATATTAAATATTTTTCTATATTTTCTATATTTTACATTTTTTGTTTGTGAGCTCAAGGCAGCTCTACTCCTTCTCCTTCCTTCGGTTAGCCGATCTCATTTTGCATCTGTAATTAATTCACTTTGTGCAATTTATGCTCGTCCAGTTGGCAAATCACTCGCCTGCTCCCCAAAGGCAAAATCCCTGCCCAAGCGGACAAGCTCATTTGTCTTGCTGACGGACAGGACAAAACTGGCCAGGAAGGACCCCGGACCGACCACCACACAGCTGAGGGCACGGAACAAAGCTGGCTTTTGCGGTAGAAGCCCAGTTAATAGTGAAATATTTAACGACAATTACAAACACAAATAGGGCGAGCGAAAGCTGTTGACTTTAGTGCGGGTTGTTTCCGCCTGGGAAATAACACTGGTCAGCATGATTATTGCCATTAAAACCAGAGTTGGGGTTTGGACTCAACGCATTTTCAAGCTGAGCACGAAACGGGGGCTTAATAAGGTTATACAATGTTGGTTTTATTGTATTTAAGGTTGTACTTTTGGTTACTTTGAGATACTTTTACTAGTTTGCTGACTAGAGCTATAGTTTTTTAGAGGTTTGAGAAAGGAATTCTTTACTTTTCTGACTGGAAATAGGGTTATTTCTGCAGCTAAGTGTCCCAATCACTCACCTTGCTCTCCGTATTCCCTGTGAGAAACTTCAGCTCCGATTCGGTGCCATTCAAAATGATGGAGATGTTCTGCTCGGCCTCGTCGCACTCTGAAAAATAAAATCCGCATGAAATATACCTACATTTTCTGACAAAGTCATGGAATAATCCCCGCGTATACTAACCCGGTCCATCGTAGGCATTGATGCAGTCCGAGGTACGGAACTGCGAAACCAGAGCCTGCTTGCCCACGCCTGCGGAGCCCAGCATTTCGACGCGATAGAACTCCACAGGCTGATGGTTCTCCTGGGCCTGGCTGGTGTTACCCCCAAATCCATTGCCAGTGCTGCCGCCATTGTATCCGCAGCCGAGGCCCAGGCTGCTGCCACCGCCGACACCGCCGCCCAGGTTGCCGCCCACGCCGCTTCGCGGATGCATGGGACTGGAGGGGGCAAGGCTGTTGCTGCGCGAGCGACGGCGGCGGAAGGAGTCGCCTCGATTAATGATACCTGGTAACGAACGAACGAACGAAAAAGTTGAAGTCTAACAAAAAAATGTCCTGACAACGTCAGGCATTTGGTATTCCAACTGCATGCGCCGGGTGGGGCCAACGTGGCGTATGTGCAACGCAGCGACTCAACGAACCGTTGCGCATACGCCACGTAGCCGGGCAGAAATTACAGTTTCCTGCCGCAGGGGCAACATCAACAATAGTTAATCTGTCTTTTGTGTCTCCTCCACCGAAAGTTTGTCTGTCTGCCTTTAAAAACGTTTGCCATCAAAATTTACAAAAATCATTTTCAGTATAAAATGAATATTTATGTGAAGTGGAGGCATTTTGCATGTTCTTTAAAATAAAGCAATTAAAAAGCCATTGCATTTTAAACAGGACAAGGCGTAATGGTGCCTTTAACCCGGCAATTGAATATATAAAATATACAAATTTATAAAATATTCGAGTGGAAAAGAGGTAAGTGACTCTCTTTGGGTGTTGATGAAGTAATAAATAAATTTAAACACATACAAGTAAACACTGCCAAGGGCACTGCAAGTTGATTGACCAAAAGAAAAGCTAAATAAATCCAGAAATAATCTGGCATGGCGCTCTCAAGGTATTACCCAACCGAGTCAAGAGCCTTTGAGCAACCTGCGGCCATTGTCATTTATAATCCCACCAGGCCAAGGGGATGTATCAATCTGCAATCTATATATATATATATATTCATGTCTGGCACTGTTCTGTTTGGTTGCTTGTCCGTTTATGTAAGTGTATGTTGTGTACATTTTAAATGTCATAAATAGATTTATGGCCTGCCTTATTGCATTTAGCCGTCTCGCGAAAATACACGAGGTTTTTCCTATATGTATTCCTATATATATATGCGGGATAGTGGTGAATTCTTTCACTCATTTCTCATCTGCGATCATTAATTGTGCAAATTGATTTAATTGCCAAAAATCGTTCTAAACAATTTGCAAATCGAAGCGAACTGAACCCCGTCATCATTGGAAAGTCATAAAGCCATATTGGTTGGCCAGATGATTTTCCAACGAGGCCAGCGCGTGTGTGTGTGGGGAAAACAATTCATTTGGAAAAGGTGCAAATGTTCGGCAATAAAAATTGCGATTTAGTTTACTTTCCGTTCAAATATTTGTGCAATGTTCATAGTTATTTTTAGGTATGCAGCTATAATTGAAACTGACTAAATCGCTGGAGTAATTGCAGCCTCTCCTTAAGCATTTCATCAAAAGCCAAAATGTTTTCGTTTCACTTAACTTTGATGTTGGTTTAGCACTCTCCTTCTTTCTTGGCATTTCCCGAATTTCCCCAGTTTGTGTTTGTGTTTCCCTAAAGTATAACTGCTTGAGCAAATAAATTGTTAAATTTTATTTGTTGATTGATTTAGAGTACGGCAAGTGTGGCCGGAGATTTAGCATATGTTTGATATGATTAACCGCCTTCAAGGTTGCCACTGGAACTGGGCCTGGGACTTTTGTTTAAACAAAATAAAATATGTATCTAAAAATACAAATTGAATATTTAGATTTTGGGTAAATAAATCGATTGTTCTAATCAGGGCTAAAGCAGATATGCACTGGGAACTATCAGAGTACTTCAGTTTAGTTAAATTAAGATTTAGGTTTTCCTGACTGTTCCTTTTTAAATAGCTTTATCTATGGCTTAAAGCCTGATATACTTTTTTTTATAATTTATCATTTTTATTGGCTATCCTGATAATTTTTCCTGTGCACATACGACCGAGTTGGAGCCTTATTCAATTATGATTCGTTTCTGGCACACAGGACTATCGGGCATTGTCTGGCTGCAGCTGGACATAGTATATATATAAATATATATATGTATCGAGAGAGATATATGGAAAATTCATTCATGGCTCTCTTCATTGGCTGCCATCGATGACTGACACTCGCCTGGGCATTTCAATTAATCACAGTGGCTGCCTCCTCCCGCGAATCAATGTCCGCCTGTCAGTTTTTAAGTTTTTCGCCCGCTCATTTTAAATTTCCCACTCGTGGCAACCGTAAACATTATTGATGGACGGACGGCCACAGCCAGAAGCTCTTCCTTCTTGGTTGGTTTCACTTGGGTTTTATCCTCTCACGCCTGTGTGCCATCGTCTTGGGGCTGAATTAAGTTTAATTAAATGGCCCAGGCCGCAAAACAAAGATGGCATTGCTACGAACTACATGGCATTCAGCTTGTATTTGAAAGCAATTTAGTTGAGCAAACACAGACACTTCATTGAATTTTAATATGCATTGCGTTGGGAGAACGTGAGTGTGTCCCCCGGTAAGGGATGAGAGTGTAAAACTAAAACCGAACTGGGACACACACTCAGACCTTGGTACTCTTTGATGTAACTGAAAAATTATCCTGAAAGGGGGTTTTGGGATTACTTTTGATACCTAAACTAAGGTTGAGGGTGTTTTCTGGTAGTTTAACTTGGAATTAAGCACAGGAAAAATTAGTTAAGGGTGGTATTTATAAACATTTCTTGAAATAAGTATAGAAACTATGTTTTCCAAATACAAAATCATTTGAAAAACAAATACAAATATTCTAAAACTATCCTAGCCTCTTGTATATTTTTTTAAGTGCAATAACCTAAACCCCAACCCAAAAAACCCATTCCCATTACCAACTTTGGGGGTTGCGTCTGTCAAATGGTTCCAACTGCTCCTCGCCAGCTTTCCCACCTCCTCCCTTATGACTAAGTTATGACACCTTGTGCTTTTAATACGCAGACTTGTCGTCTGTTTGCTGTCATGTCTGCTCAAGTGTTCCGTAGTCCATAGCCCCACAGTAACGTAGTCCCTCAGTCCCGTATTCCGTATTCCGTATATTCCGTACTCTGTGTTCCGTGTTCGGAGCTGTTACGGGTGGGCTTAAACACGTACTTAGAGTCTGCCATGCATTTGTGCATGCAAACTGGGAGGAGAGGATAGAAAAGTAAGTGGGTATTGGGATCATGGCTATTAGGTTGAAACTACTGGGATATACCATTTAGTTGCCAATTTTCCCAAAGGAAAGTAAGGAATTTAAGCTTTTTTAGTTTGAAAATTTATAGAAAATAAGTCAAGTTTAAGAAAGACTTTTGAAACAGTTAGCTATACTTTTTTTAGCATTTAAATGTAATGAATTTAGGTATTTAATAGTATCATTTTCTCTCTTTAGCAAATTCCCTTACTTGTATCCTTATGTCTCCTTAACACATCTAAGTAACTGAACTGGATAATCGATCTTAATTGAATTAAAAACTCTTCAAATTGTTGCAAAAACTTTCCCTGCCAAAGATATCATCAGCTAAATGCCAAAACTTTCAACTTTCAACTCGCCTTTCGTCCTTACAATACTCGTCTGACACTGTAGTTGGGATAACACACAGTGCGTATGTGTAACAATAACGTGACACAAATGTGGAATAAAGATGAGGAGGAGATGAGATGAAAAAAGAAGGAAAAACGAACACACGCATAATGGGAAAACTTCGGAGGACTCTGCGGTTGTGTGTTAGTCTCGTATTCATATTCTATGCGGAGTGGCATTTAGTGCCAGTGATATCTCCTTAACATCTCCGTGTAACAGCCTTTTAAGATTTCAATAAGGATTGCTGCATGCCCCGGGATGAAACTATAATTTTATGCCTCTTGAATGTATCGTGTATCGTGTGTCCCCAAGAGATGTCCTGTCCCGCATTGTTTAGATATGTAATCCCAGTCATCTGGCCCCAGGATCCTTTGTTGACTTTCAATTTCGAAATTAATAAATGGTCCGCCATGGCCTTTCTTCTTGGCTTAGGGATTGGGGGATCAAGATGGGAGGAGGGTCCTGCGAAGTCAACTCACCGCCCTTGGAGGCACTGAAAGTGCGCAGTCGGTCCACATCCTCGTCGTCATCGTTGACGCGCAGGTGATGCATGTTCATGGTGGGCACGTCCAGGAAGGCGTTGGATTTTCTATGTGCTGTGGAAACGAGAACAGATTAAAATTTAAATGAATTAAGGTTTTCTTAAGGTCTTCTTCTTCTCTAGAAAGAGATTTTAAATCTTCACAAATGACACAACTCTTTCTCTACTCCCCACTTTAATTACACATTTTCCAAATGAATTTCCTCCCATCTGTAATAATAAACATTAACCTGGATATGTGTGTACACATATATTATCCCATTTTTTGTACAGTGTGTTGGTATATCACTTGTCCTGCATTATTGATTCAATATTTGCTGTTCCAGCTGCCTGACATTTGGACAGCTTTAATGGGTCGCTCATGTCGAGTTGACACACAGAGAGAGTATGACGAGAATATATATACCCACACACATGTTGGCCACTTTGCTGCTGGCCAACTGGGTCAATGGTTAAGTTCATCGGACGAACGAATCGAGGAGCAACGTTAATTGAATCAGCATTATTGAAGGGTACTTAACAAAGGACCATATGAAGGCAACACCTTGGAAATGGCTTTAAGCCCTGCGGTCCAGCGCCCGCTGCCTTTTGGCCACTAAAAGCATTTATGGTCAATTTTACATTGCCGCCGCTCTCGTGCGGCGAGAGCAATTTGGCTGAGAGCTTAGTTTATGCCGCATAAAAGATCAGACTCGGCACTTGGCTAATTTGTTGGCCTTGTTTCACAGTTTTTGATGCCCGGAAGTTGAACTGGGAGCTACGGCAAACGATGGTGGTTGGAATAGTAATAGTTGAAAGGAGTTTTCTTTTTCACACAGAAAAAATATTCTTTAGAAATACACAAGGGTTCATCTTCTACTTGAATGAATACCATTTCCCCTTGGCTCATAAACTAAGCTATTAACTAGTAATCTCCCCCCTATTGTGCCCACTTAGTTGTAGTAATTTTTGCTCACCGTGTGGCTGTGGCCTCCGCTGTGATAACTTGCGGCGTTGTGGTGGCGTCTCCGTCTCACTCAGCCGCGGCTCGCTGGTGCAGTAGGAGCGCGTGTCCTGGAGCGTGTGCTGCTGCTGCTGTTGCTGCTGCTGGGCCTTGGTCCGCTGACGAACCTGCAAGAGGAGAATGGAGTTATTCAAGAAGCATCTGACAGATATCGAAACTAAACTATTCATCGCGACTCAAGGCAAACGCTTTGATTTATGCATTGCCGCAGGATGTGCCCTTGCCAATTGAGTGAGAAATTAAATTGCATTTCTCGGTTGCAGGCGGCCAATCAAGCGTCGACACACACACAAATACACACAAATCAAATTGCATTTGTTTGTCCTTTTGCGAAAAAACAGGAAAACAGCAAAACAGAAAACCCTGCCAACCCATCCACCCACAGAACCCACCGCTCTTGGCTCTTGGCTCTTGGCTCGCCAATGCCATAATTTATCGGCTGACTTGACACTTGGCACTTGCCAGCGGCCTCGTGAGAAGGGCTCTTGGTGGTGCTTAGGATGCGAAACGACAAGAAAAGTATTCAAAAATATATATATTTAATAAATCTACAAAGGAAAACGTCATCAAATATAAGCCCAAATATACAGATTCTTTATTTGTTTTGAGTAATATATAATATCTCATACAATATCTATTGTATGACAATATTGATATATCGACCTCAAGTGCCATCGCTATTCCCACTCCCACCCCTGATCACTGAGGGAAGCGCTTAAGGGATTCCCCTGAAATGTCAAGGTTAAACGCCTTTCGCCGGACACTCGAACTGCAATCAGCACCGCCGCTTGTTTCGTTCGCCGCAGAAAGTTTCCTGCTCACGTCTCCATGTCCATGGGCATCCCGCCTGCGGAGAAAGGAGAAGGCGGTGTCCCAAATCCTTCAAGCCACGTCCAAGTGCCTGTCAGTTTGCGGTGTTCCAAGCGGTGTTGGAAAAACCTGCTGACGACGGTCGGTGTCGGTGTCGGTAACATTGGTGTGGGTTTTCCCGCTGCTCTCTCTGTGTGTGGGGTAAAACTAATTTCAGCACCTGTCCCGACGATGTAAGCTTCTTGTTCAGTTTCTTTGGTCCACTCAGCAGGTGAGTGTGTGTGTGTTTTTGGGCCTTATTTATAGCCGCATGCAAAATGTCCAACTTTGTTAGCCGCTTCCGTTTTCCTTGGCCCAAAAAGCATCAGCGAAAATACTTTTCATGGTGTTTTCCACCAAATTACTTGGTAATTAGGAATTATTAAGTTACCGGGCTTAGGACGTTTTGGTCTCCTCGAATTAATAGCTGAGGCTGAAAAGCTAAATCCCTGAATTTGGTAAAGTTTTTGCAAAGAGAGGTCTTTTGAACTTAACAGAAGAGATAAACTTTTAAAGGCTTGACACTTTCTATTAGTTATTTATTTATTTTAATAATCAAATCATAAAGTTAAAGTTCTTTAAAATTAATCTAAAGTTTTAAAACCAGTGTATCCTATCCCTTGAAAACTCCAAGACCCCGCTGCGGGGGTTTCCTTAACTCGGGGAAAACCACACGCCGGAAGCGTTTGCTACGTGGCGTCGCCTGTCAAGTGGCCATGGATTTGGGCCACGTTAAGTTGCTGTTGCTGGTCAGGAAGCCCGCCAAATCCGCTGGACAGTTTGCTGGTGTAGAGGAGAATGAGGGGTTTTTCGGGGCCATTAGGCGAGCTGTCAGTGTAAACGCTCCTTGTTTATTTAGTGGCCGTTCTTTTGCGCTTTTTACGGTCCTTTCCCCCGTAGCATTCTCTGGCACATGTGTGTGTGTGGTGTGTGTCCTGGCATTTCACGGGCCCTCGTGACCAGTAATTGCTCTTCTTTCTTTGGCCAAATGTTTGCATGGTCTACTTTGCTGGCTTAATCAAATATTACGACTGAATGTGTACGGACCGTGATCCGTCCGGATGCAGCGGTGGCCTGGATGGATCTCCTCGCTTTTTCGCCTCGGAAATTAATTGCTTCCTGGCTTCAGTTCATTGACCAGGCGTTCGCCCATCCAGTTGGAGTCTTCAATTTGTAGCCGCTTAATCCCCAATTAGTCCACTGGGTCTGGCTCTGATAATTTATTTTCTTAATGGGCTCCGTTTTACGGGCGGACATTTTTACGGGACTAGCATGTGTGCAGCTGATGCTTGATAGTTAATAACTATAAAAAGTTAGTGACCCAAAGCCAGACTTAAAGTCTTTTAAATGGTTTAAAATATATTTTTACCCTGAGCGTAGTTCACTCCTTGCTTTAAATTAAGCGTTGGCCACACTGTTTAAAGCTGACTCCTTTAAAGTTTGCAAATTTCCAGTAAATTGCATTCTTTATTTGGTCAACTATTTCGTTCGCTTCATATAACCAGCAAAGGAAAAAATTCTTTTCAACTTTAGCTTCCGTTTTGTTGATTTTAATTTCATTTTGTGCCATACTACTTGGCTATGTACTCGTAAAAATGGTAATTGTGCACACATTTCCTGTAGTTTTCTGTACTTTTTTTTGAAAGAAAAACGTAGAAAATTTGCCTATTTGCGGTCGACGTCTGTCTGGTTGCATTTCTTTTGTTGTTTTTGTCAACAATTTGCCTAGAATGCGTCTGACTTTAGTTCAGAGAATGCCGTGCAAAAACGAAAATAGCTTTACAATGCGAATTTTCAGTGCGGCTTCATTGCTTTCAGTGCGGTTTTTCTTAATGTTGTTCATCTTGTTGTTGTTTGTTCATCTTCTCATTAAACTTTTGCGTCTGCAGATGAAAAGTGCCAGAGACTTATCGACATCGACATCATCATCATGGCACTGAGCACTCCCAAGTTTATTTGTTGCCTCCTGCCGATTGTATCCTTCGCCATTCCCTCTGGCTCATAAACAAAAGTCATTTCAACGCGGCGTCTTGGCTGCCTTTCTTCTCCTTTTGGATACTCTTTCGAAAAGGTTGTATGAGTTGTTTATAAATTTTGTATACTTTTGTATGAGAATTCATTGTTTATTGAGGAGTTTAGTTTGTCAATTAATCATATATTCTTATGACACTGTACTTATGTACTTATGACACGTATTCTTTATGACACTGCTGTGTTTAATTTTGTTCAAGGCACTTGGTCACACTTCATTATTATAAATACCTTGGGTAGAAATGTAGTCTTATTTGAAAAACAAACTTTATAAGGGTATCAAAACTAACTTCATCTGTTCAAATTTAGACGTTTTTTGGTGCGGTAGCTGTGAACTCATTACGACCACGCCCACCTAGCGCACATGCCGCCCCCTAAAAGGTCGGAGCATGTGTGCGTCTCGCTGACTTGAAAAGTTTTTCCATATAAATTACCAGCTCGGGGCGCATCGAAGGCGATGAGAAGGACATTTTTAGCGCGATGCGCGATGCACGATGTGCTGCTGCCTCGTTTTCTTACTAATAATAATGTTGCTGGTGGGGGAAACAGAGGAATACGAAAAAAAAGAAAGGGGGATTCACCGAGACAGAAGCCGGCAGAAGGCAAGGATCCAGCTGCCAGCTGACAATTCATACACAACGTATGTTGACACGTGGCTGGCGTCCCTTTTGTCTGGGAACACCAGCAACCATCCTCAGAAATTGAATTTGGCCACGATATAACTCAATTCACACGCTCCAGCTCCAGTATGACGGGGATTCACTTGCAGGACGCATATAGCCAGGACGAAAGGCAACCATCATCAGAGCTTCCTTAGCAGCAAAAGTCGATTCAATTGAGTTGGAACCAGTTTACTTATTTAAAACGAAAAATTATGAGTATCCTTGGAACCTGAGCAGGCTTGGAGTGTGGTGTTACATCCATAGCTTAGTTTCCAGTTAAATTCGATTACCGGACAGTTACGTATATCAACCGAAATGGATAAATTGGTCACCATGATGATGGACAAACGTGAATCTCGCTTTACGGTCACCGACAGCATGACCAAGTTGGCTTTGACCCGACTGGACACGATTTGTAACTCAGAGGACAAGGAGAAGACCATTATCAAGATCCTTCTGGCAATGGAGGAAAAGTTTCGTATCTATTTTGAGGCTAATCAAAAGGAACTGGAGCTGCAAAGGATCGCTGCCCAGACTTTGTGGCACTTGGTGCAGCGCTACCAAATCGCCGTGCAAGTGGACACCAGTTGCATGTGCCCGAAGATTTACGAAATCGAGACTGAGGATGCCATCATCAACAAATATCATATGCATTATCAGGTGGAATTAGCTACTCTATACATATATCTTCATATATCATTACTAGATGCATTGATTATAGGTAATTGTGGGCTCCAACAAGAGTCAGCATATTGGCATCCATGCTTTGAGGCCCTTTGTCCTGGCCTTTCGCCGCGAATGCGCCACACTGGACTTGGAAGAAGAGACGCCTTTTATTCTAGGCGATGCTTTTCACAAGCCAATTACTTTCTTCATTGATTTGGTGGACGAGATCTTTAACTACTTCTACAGTGGTCATTTGCAGCTGGAGTGTGCCGCCCGTATGCTAGATCCCGCTGACCTCAAAAGCCTGGAGTACTATCAGAGTCTGCTGGCCCCCAATGAGGACTTTGACGAGTACTTTCTGTACAACATAAGTTTCTGCAAGTGCCTGAGGGCACCGCCCAAGTGCGTATCCGTAGTCCGGGAAAGTTTCAAGAAGGAGAAGAAGGACATCCTGGAGGCCTATGTGACGAAGGCCAAGCAGGCGCGTTGTGCCCGGCGCATTGCCAAGATGTCAAAGCCAAAGGCCGAGGTTGTAGTCCCGAAGCGTAGGATCTCGCTTTTCAATAGTCCTTCCAGTCAGAAGAACTCGTTGAGCCTCAGGGAATCCCTCAACTCTCTATATCAGCGCCAGCGAAGCCTTAAATTTCTGTTGGGCAACGTTTTGAGCGTTCATCATATTAATTAATCCGATCCAATCGAAATTCCTGTTTAATTCAATTAAATACACAAAGCGAGTCAGCTGATGGCCCTTGAGCTCTCGTATGAACTGGATTTGCTGTGTGTTTTCTCATCAAAAGGTTTACTCCCTCAATTGAAAGTGAGTAAAGTTTTAATTTCATTTGAACTCAAAGTGAAACAACCCATATTTTCACGTGAGTTTTTCCGGTTAAATAATATGTTAAATGGTAGAATAATATTCAGAGTTGAGGAGAATATATTTGTCCTTTTGGTCCTGAAAAGATTATAAGCCTTCATGCTGATTTGATAGGAGTTAAGATCCTATGTACAAGTTGAATATGTTTTAAAACAGAAACGATCGAGGTAATCTATGAAGATACTTCCGAAATTCTCATGTTTAAGAATTTAAGTTTTTATTGTAAGAAAATATTCTCTCAAATAAAAATATATAACATTAAATCACTCTATACTTTATAACCTTTAATTTAACAAGGCTTACTCCCATTCTCCCATACGATTTATAACCCAAATTATGAACTTACCATTTAAATGCACATTTTACGCCATAAAACAGAGTCTTAATTACCCCAAAAGACCAAAATGTATTAGGTGCAAATTAAAGACTACAATATACATTTGGAAAATAAGCAACTTTGCATGTGCGTGGCTAGCTGACGATGATTTCTACTTTTTATTTATAGAGTGAGAAACGTGCACTTAATGAAGAGACTATAAATAAATTAGATTCGCTTTTTGGCTTAAAAAACAATGTGAAGTGACGGGTCGAATGCAAATGCAAATGCAAATGTTAAATTTGTATCGCATGACTGCGTCGTCGTCGTTTGTATCCGTACTAAATTACGTATACGCGGCGTATGCGTAATATAGGACACGTATACGCCATGGTGACCGTTGTACTTGTACTCACCGATCTGGCGCCGGAGGTGATGCGAGCACTCTGGGAGCGCGTTGCCGGCCGGCGTCGTCGATAGCCCGGTGTGCCACCTTCGGGCGTGGCACTGCCCGAGGCACTGGGCATCCCATGGATGACCGTCTCGATGCTGGCGCCGGTGGCACAAATGGAGGCGCTTCTCGTCTTCTTCTGCATGCGATGATGCATCGGGGAGATGTCGTCCACCATCCTGACAGAGAGCTGTCTGGGGAAATTCCAATCGTCCTTCGTCCTTCGTCCTTTTCTTGTGTGTTTTTTTTGTGTTTTCTGTGTTTGCTCTCTGGTCTAGAGTCTAGCGTTTCTACGTTCGTGCTCTAAGCAAATCGTGCTGCGGTTCTAGTGGCTCTATTTTGCATCCTCTCTGTTGCATAATTCATAATCTGAGTTTTGATTTGATGTGTGATTGTTTTTTCTATTTGGTTTTATTTGGTGCACTCTGCAAATAAATGGCGACAAGCAAAAAGAAACAAATGCAGACAACATTTAAATGATATTTCAAATCAAAATTGCACAGTTCTCCAATATACTATATAAATTTTGTATGTATTTTCGGGTCGTGACAAATTTTCTAGTTTCTAGTTGGCCAAGTTTTTACATAAAAATAACCCAAAGGCAAAAAGCAAAAGTGTGATAGAGCAGCGGCAGAAAAGCGAATTTCATCTGGCGGCAACACACACACAAAATATATATTTGTAACAACATGCAACATAATTTGCTGTGTGATTTTTCATTTCAAACCGACGGCCTGCCGGCCATTAAACATCAAATTCCTCTGTTTTTGTTTCAACTGAATTTATTTATAAATTTACCTCGCGCGCGGTCTCTCCTCTCGGATTCGGGTTGGAACTGGGTCAGCCCAGATCCCGAGACCGAGAACGACAAATTGCCACAAAAACCAATCCAAAATCCATTCAAAAAAGGGGCGGGGATCAAGCCTTTTGGGAATTGCGGTTAGTGTTGAGATTATATAAGGTTAATCTCACTGTTATGCAAGTTTGCCTTATGTTATACAATTTGCTAGAATGAGATTTATTGATCGATTGGATTTTTCTTTTATTTAAATTTAAGTTCAATATTTTATTTAGACAAATTTAATTCCTCTAAAAACATGGTTTCTTATTCCAGAGTCTAGTGTAAATATATAATATATATTTTGTATATAGTATTAAGTTGGCCTTTTCAGCTAAATGGTTGTATTATATATTAAAGAATTTATTATTATTTTGAACTTGCAAATGGTTCTTTAAAGTATTATGACTTTAGGATGAATTTAAGTGTGGCAAAACCGATTTTTGATACTTTTTTGTTTACTAATTTAGTTTAGAGTAACTTTTTGAGTATAAATATGAGGTTTATGATACTGCATCGTTGATTTTATGAACTTTATATAAGAAATACTTAAATAAAAACAAATACTACAAAAATTCCTTAATTAACTGGTAACTGAAAATACCAATTTTGGTAATAATTAATTTGTATTACTTTTTATATATTGTGTAATTTTTTTGTACTGATATTAATTTAAGTGAATTTACGAAACAAGTATGATCTTTAGCTCTATAAAGAAAAAGTGACAAGGTAACATAATAAGTAGGTTTCCTTTTCCGCCGAAATTATTTAAGAAATAATTCCATTATTACAAAAATTTGGATTTTATAAGCAGCTGGCGATTTCCAAACATTTTCTTCTTCCCTCCAACTTTTGGCTTTGTTTATATCCACTTGATCTTGTGCTTTTCAAGAGTTCGTTAATCACGTAATTCTCTGTGCCTAATAATAGATTTCTTTATATTTTCTTCATTGGCTAACCCTTGCATAAGATTTTAAACTAGGAAAACTTTTGTATTAAGCAAACTTTTCGCCATCTATATAAAGGTAAGGTTGTGGAAACTTTGGGTGGAAAATTCTTTATCTTTCTCAAAGATAAGGAATAGAAAAAGCTGAAGAAGCCATCTCTAATTGACACTAATTGCAATTTGCAGGCACTGAATATATATTTTATATATATATTTATATCCCTGGGCTCTCCGCTAAGTGAAATCCATTTCTCTAGCTGAAGACGAGGGAAATTGCATTTTCCCAGACAGGCCAATCAAAACATATTCCTAATCCATTTAGGCTTCCCGTTCCCGCTTCCTTAGACATGCATCATTAGCCGCAGGAGGACCCCGATGGTGTCCTGTCGTAGCCCATCTCCCGCCATCGTGTCCTTATCCACTTTGGCTCTCTAATCAGGTTACTCTCTCGCCATCGTTCCACCCTCCTCCGGCGCTTAAGTGCACTTTCTGTTGCCGACAAGCGACTTGATGAACTTGCAGTTTTTGGCCACGTTCCCTCAAGTGCCCAGTCGAGGCTCGGGTCTAAGCCCTAAGCTCCCACCCAAGTAATTAACTTGCGCGAATGATTAAAACATAAATAATTAAAAGGACGCCATCCTTGTACACCCTTTTTTTTTGTATTATTGTGTTTCTGCAGAACAAAAGATTCGGGCCAAGTCCCGCCCAAGTAAATAATGCAAAGTGTGCTTGGAAGGAACACAAAAAAAGTAAGGGGGTTAGAATAAATACATAAACTTGAAAATGTTCTTTAACGTGGCAGCATATGCGACAACAGCTTTGAGATAAGCAGCCAGCAACACTGCGAGAAAATGAGCTACAAAATAAAGTCCTAAATATGGATTTTTGGGAACATTTTAAAGTCAGAAAACGTTTTTTAAGGCTTTGAACTGGGACAGAAGGTTCCAGCAAAATTGAGGAATACCTGAAAGGAACTATGTTTAGTTTTAAAAGGTTTCTAGCTTTGATTATAAAAACAAACCTATTGTTATTTATATATATTTAAATCAGAACTAAACTAAAATTCCAACAAAATGCAAACTCTAAGAGTTATCCCAACATTTGGCTTTAAGGCGCTTAAAGATCTAAGCAAACTTTCCCTGCTACTTTACGCATGATTTGCCATCCATTTTGCCGCTAAACCGAGAATCCAGCGATGCATTACTAGGACACACGAAAAAGGACTCGGAAATCGGGATAAAGGGTACGGATAAGGGTCTGGCTAGGGGGTTTTGGATAAGGTTTCCCCTCCCCCCGTTGGTGATTTCAGCTGCTGACCCATCCAGTCGTGCATGAAACTCCTGGCCACATGATGATGAAGTCGTCATCGAAGGATCCTTTGTCAGCAGCTTCATCCTGTTCTGTCCTGCCTCGACTTGTTTGCATTCAATTGATGCCAACGGCAGTGGGCTAACAACAACATGGCCCAGAGCACCCTCCGGTGCGTGGCTATGTGTGTGTCCTCCTAATTGGCCAACACACAGACACATATGGAGTTCATGGAAAGAGCCTTTAAAGCCTTTGGAGCCTTTGGACTTTGCTATTAATTTTCATTTTTATGTTTATAGACTTTTTTCCCCGGAATTCAATGCCATATTAGTGGGTGGAAAGGCTGGTCATTTGCTTTTATGGCCCAATATGACGGGGAAACGTACTTTCTAGCCAACCTTATCGTGTGGCCTGTTGCTAGTTATTAACATAAATATTTCTCTTTTGCTTCAATTTTTGTCATACCTCGAAATGGGGAAAGGGTATATGGGTTTAGAGGAAATTTGGGATTGGGAAAAGTAATACTAATACATTGATATTTATAGTTCTAGAATTTCCTAGATTTATTAGCTTCTTTACTTATTTTTTGCTCTCTATAATATTTCCCCTTCTCTGTCGCAGAAAAGTATGCAATATTATCTAACACAAACCTCCTGGCGGGTATTTAATAGTCGTGCTCATGTTCCTTGTTCTCCTGCCTAATCAGGCCACACATTGATGTGGATGTGGTTGTGGTTGTGGACAGATGATGACAGCTGGGCACGGTTCCAGGCAACTTAAGCTATCGCACAAAATGTGACCAAAATGTGCGTTCAGCCTACCAATATCCCAAAAAAAAAAGGAAATATATATATATGTATAAAAAATCCCCGATAAAGTGTCACCAGATACGGCTTGTATGGCCTGATATGTAGGTTCCCAGTGGAAAACTCGACTATTTATGGGGGGTGGCCACCTGAGTGGACGAAAAAAAGGTGACAAAAGGTGAAACAATGAAGCTCAGCGGAGCAGAAATGCAAACCAAATGGATTTTAATGGAAACCCGATTGTGGTCGAGGTTCAATTGGTTTTAAATATATTATATTTTATTGGTGTTTTATCAATGGACAATCAGAGATATAAATAAGTAAACCAAAATGCATAAAGGAAATATAATTTAAAATTAATTTGCTTCGTTTTTTGATGGTGAATATGGAATAATTGCCACTGTCAAGCTGCTGTTTATGTATATTGAATCTTAAAAAAAGAAAATGTATTTATGTTTACGTTTTGCATTTAAATAAATATTTATATTTGTAAAGACCTTGCTGTTGCTATATTTATGGTATTAAATTCAAATAAATAAAGCAGGTAAACAAACTGACAATGAAATGAAACAAAATTAAAGAAAACTGTGTCTATTTGATAGTATAAAGATTTCCCTAAGGAAATTTCCTACACATTATTTCGCCAGAATCAAATTTATATAGTGTTATATTGACATGACTCAGGAACTGAAACAATTCTATATTAAATCATGTTTATATTAAATCTGTCAGGCTATTTATTTTCCCGCTGGCAGCTAATGTACACAGATGGATGCCTAGTTGTTCCGGGAAACGTTTCGGATTCATCTCCTTTTTCACTACGGATGATGACCCTGGAGGCCACGCCTCCGTTGTGTAGGCCGCTTCCCTTTAACACATCCTCGACGTCCTTGTCGTCCGTGTTGTCCTTGTTATCGGTGTGACAGTTTGTGTTCGTGTTCGTTTTGTTTGGTCTGCTTCCCTTTGAGCCTCATCTCATCGTTGTCGCTGGCCATTTGTGTTTATTTCCATGGCCAGCTCACCAGCTCACCAGCACACCTGTTGCTGTAAAATTAATTTCAATGGGTCACAGGTGGTCACTGGGGCGGCCTTAAAGGTCAGGGCCAGTGTCAGATAACTTCTCATTATTTCAGTTTCTGCCACATTAATCCAAAGTCGAGTACTCATCTTTATCTCTCATCTTCTGACGGCAAAGAATAATCCCAAGTAGCTTTTGTCAACACAAATGAAAATGAGCTAAATAAAAACGAAAAGTTTTTTATTGCGCATACGCCGCGTTGTCGCGTTCATTTCCTTGGTGGAAAAACAAATTTGAATGATTAAATAAATTATCTAGCTAAGAATGGAGGGAATTTCCACGTCTAGAATGATCATAAAATCGTGATGAAATAGCTTCATGGCGGGAAGATCATCAACCTATCTTGAAAGATATATATATAGAAACCATTTTGTTTATTGTCTCAAACTGTTTGACATTTATTTATAGCCATATTTATGTTGCTCTTTTTTGCTCTCGTTTTGTTAAAG